TAGCTACATTCTCAACAGCCAGTGACTGTCACAGGTAACATTCATTGAGCACTTACCCCATGCCACTGCCCTCTACACAAGGTCTAGATACAGGTATATATGTCCATGTATGCATTGTCTCACTTAATATCCAGGAATATTATTTTTCCATCTAACTGATACTAAAACTTTGATTTCTATCGTGTTCAGCATCACATAAGAGAAAAGGGAGGTGGAATCCCACGCCTGTGTGGCAGTTTGACATTTCATCAGCATGAAGGGTATACAACATGTAGCGTCACTGTTGATAAGAGAAATCCTGGGGAAACGAACTAGATACTGAGGGCTGACTTCAAAATTCATCCTTCTTCTTCTCTTTCCTGTTTATTGATCTGGCATTGCACAGTCTAGAATCATGTAGCTTGAGTTGCTAAATTCATTGGGAATATTGTTAGTCTCCTGTTCTGGCCTTCAAATGTACATGGAGGTGGTAACCGCATTGTACTGATTCTTGTATTCCTATAAGACATCAGCAAGTGCATTGTGTGAATTCAGTTGTATGGAAAAGAATGGGAGAGAAAGGAGAAGGTCCAGGCAAACTTCAGTGATGGTGGCTGAGGTATCCTGGGGAAAGCAAGGAAGGTGGTAGAGCTTGGAGGCCTAAGGAGAGGCTGGGAGGACCCTCAAGTAAGGGGTTAGACAAAAGATGTAGGTAGCAGTCATAGACTCACAAGGCAATGGAGACAGCGAATCTCTTCTGTGAAGGATGCAAGACAAGAATGTTCAGGGTGCTTCAAAACAATGCTGTCTTAGTAGATGAGAAATGGGGAAAAGTCCCTATAAGGCAGTGGGCAGCAGTTCACATTGTGAGATAATGAACACTTGAATTGTACTTCCGTTTTCTCATTGTTAGGACCTTATCTCTTTACATCTGCATGTGAGTGTTTGCCAGGATTCTTCTTTAGTCACACATAATTGCTTCTCAGCATTGTACAATCCTTATCCTTACAAGTTACATGGAACTTCCCACTTCCTAATTCTTAACACGGTCAGGTTACGCTTCTTCCTTTTCCCTCACTCAGCCTCTCGTGTCCTCTCTTCACTTCTTGTGTTAGTGACCTATTATGCAAAACAAGTCCCCTAGAACATAGTGGCTGAAGCAACACTGCAGTATATCTCTCACAGTCCTGTGCAATGACTGGGTTCAGCTAGGTGGTCCCCGGTCAAGGCCTCTCATACAGTCACAGGGAGATGGTGACTGTCTATGGCTGGAGTCTTCAAGAGCTCCACTGGGCTTGATATCCAAGATGGCTTCTTCATAACATGTCTGGTGTCTCCACTGAAATTGTAGGACCTGGCTGGTCAGTTCTGTCCCATTCATCCATCCATCCATCCATCCATCTGTCCGTCCGTCCATCCGTCCATCCATCCATCCATCCATCATCCATCCATCTGTCCATCCATCCATCCGTCCATCCAGCCATCCATCCAGCCATCCATCCATCTGTCCGTCCGTCCATCCGTCCATCCATCCATCCATCCATCCATCCATCCATCCATCCATCTGTCCGTCCATCCATCCATCCATCCAGCCAGCCAGCCAGCCATCTGTCCATCCGTCCACCCATCCCCATTTCTCTCGCTCGCTCTTTCCTTGTCCTCCTCCTCCTCTTTCTCTTCCACTTCCTCCTCTTTGCCATGCCTCCCACCTCCTTGACCCACTGTGGAGGTTTCTGGGTAGCCAGGCTGCATGCATGGCAGCTATCCCTCCCCAGGCAAGCATGGAAAGAAGTTCAAGCTGGTGACTAGGTCTGGGAAGCCACTCATCTCCACTGTTGCTGCATTCCATTGATGCAAGGGAAGCTACAGAGCCAGCCCTGGGGAGGGAACCACTCCAAGGTGTGAGCTTAGGGAAGCATCGTTTATTGGGGGTGACACATCGCTCCAAAGATGAGCCACCCCATTTCTCACTGAGTGCAATTTCTGTCCCTTTCTGTACTCCCTGTAACTGAAATGTCTTAAAGTTACTGCCCGGGAACTCACTTCATATCCATATGCTTTTCTAACTTGTTTGTAGTAAGAGAGACTAAAAGACTTCTTTGAAGGATTCTTATGCATGCTCTCCAGTGAGTCTTAAAAATACAGTTTCACTTACCAATATTAAAATGAAGCATCCCAAAGGCCCTGTAGAAAAGGTATTTTTTTTTTTTTTAAGAAAGTCTCTTTGGGAAATCAGATTTGATTCAGTTTTTAACAAACAATGATAACATATCAAACTTAAAAGGCAGATTAGTTTTAGGGAAAAGTGATACAGCACCAGTGTGGGCGTCCTGGGGTGAACTCTTCAACAATATTGCTTTTCATGCTTAGCGACTAATTAGAAAACCTGCTGTCTTGTAGGGCTGAACTGTGGTTTACTGTTGGTTGGATTTTTTAAAAACAACTTACAGAAATCAGGGCCTGTTCAACCCCTCCTCACATTGGAAAAAGCCAAAGAACTCCCATCTAAATGAAGTATTGCATAATTACATGGCAGTTTTAGAAATTCTTTATTTAAAATCTTATAGCTTTAGCTTCTGCAAATGCTACTGAGGAGTTAGGTTCTTCTGCAGAGTTATTACATTTTGTTCTGCAGGGCCGGGGATCAAACCCAGGACCTTGAGCATTCCAGGCAAGTGCTCTACCACTGAGCTGCATCCCCAGCTGTGTGTGTGTGTGTGTCTGTGTGCGCTTGCGCGTGTTAATGCTAAATCTCCAAAGCTTTTCTTTCTTTTTTTAAAAGACACTACATTTCCAAAACTTATTTGTCTTTCTGTCTGTTTTTCCTCCTTATCTTCCCTTCCCTTCCCTTCCCTTCCCTTCCCTTCCCTTCCCTTCCCTTCCCTCCTCTCCTCTTCCCCTTCTTCTTCCCTCCCCTTCCCTTCTCCTTCCTTCCTTCTTCCTTTCCTCCCTTCCTTTCTTTTGTGACACCAAGTATTTATTTGATTTGAAGGCCTTCACATTGAGCTACAGCACAAAAACCACCCCTGTTTTTTCTTATTTTGAGACAGGGTCTCACTAAGTTGCCCAGGCTTGGCTCAAATTTGTGATCCTCCTGCTTTAGCCTCCCAGAGTTCTAGGATTCAGGTGTGTGCCACCATGCTTGGCTTTTGAAGCTTTTCTTTGGTAATTTGGAAAACAATACAAGTGAGAGGAAGTAGGAAGTTAAATATGGCAAATAATTTGACTTTTGTTTTCTATGTACCAGCACTGGGAAAACCCTGCCCTAGAGGAGGAATTTGCTCATGGGGTTCCACTGGGGTGGCCACTAAGAAAAATACTGGCAGGAGCACCAGGGCAGGAACTTCCCAGCTCTGGAGGAGAGCCCAGGGTTTTCAGTGGAGATGGAGCCCTCCTTCCCTCCTTTACAGTGACTGTGCATTAAACGTCTGAGGGTCGATACCATTTCTCTCACACAGGCCTTTAGGCAAACACCTGAAACCTGACTCTAAGACATAACTGATAATTGCAACTTGCTGTACCTTTTCAAACAGGAAAAAGATTTCATTAAAAAAAACTTGTGTTCTTCTTACCTTCATTGACGTGTAATTAACAAATAAAAATTGTACATATCTGAGGGGTCTGGATGCGTCTCCATATGCATATATGTTGTGAAATGATTACCATGATCAAGCTAATCAATGTTTCCGTCATCTCACATGATAATCGCTTCTTTGTGCTTCTGTGGTGAGAAAGATTTAAGATGTTCTCTCTTGGCAAGTTTTAATCACATGATACAGTGTCATTAATTCAACACCATGGTGTATATTAAGTCCTTGAAATTTCTCCATCCTGTGAAACTGAATCTTTATACCGTTTGGCCAACTGTCCCAGACCCCTGGCAACCACCATGCCACTGTTTGTGCCTAGGAGCTGGGCACTCCCAGAGCCCACAGGGAAGTGTGTGACACAATGCGCTGTTTGTCTTTCTGTGCCTGGCTCGTTTCACCTGGCATAATGTCCTCCAGGTTTGGCCACACTTGTTTTTAATGCCTTTTAGAGTCAATTCTTTTCCAAAGCCTTTTTGTTTTCCACTCTAAACCATTAGAAAATAGCAAGAGACACAACTGGGGATTTCTTCACGCATCCTTATTCTCTGGCTTCGTATACCTGCAGATTAAATGGGACGCCAGCAGCTCCCCAGTAGAGTGCCCCTTCCTTCAATCCTCAGCTTCCTCCAGCAGAGGGACAGCAGGCGCCATTTTCTTTTTCATTTCTTATTTGTACATGTTTTCAGTACACAATGATTATATTCCCTATGGGGAGTCGGTACATATATGCAGCACATTTGAATTCCTTTTCCCTCCCCTTCCACTACCCCACACTTCCATCTCCTGGTCAGTGTGCCATTTGCTATGAAGCTTTACCCTAAACCCTTCAACAAAAATGTCTGTTGCACAGAAAGCAAAGTTTGAAGACCCTTCTAACTTCAGGTCCAGACAAAATGTCCTATATACTCTCCTCCCTCTCCACAGCCATGTCTGTCACCCCTACTCAAATTCAGCTCAGGGCCACCCATGATCACGTCAGCTACAGATGGGGACCCATGGACAAAACAGACGGGGAAAGCTGGGAGGGAGTCACGGGGCCAGGATGGGCAGCTGGGATTTAATCATCCTTTTGTTAAGCCTCACATCTTTCTCCACAAAATCATAGTTTTCCCATTGCTGCAGATGGAGAAATCCAAAGGCACGAGTCTAAGTTTTAACTGGTTCTTACGCAAATTTGTTGAACCTAGCATTCGAGATTAAAGTTTTTAGACAGCCTGAGCATATTGCGTCATCCTCGGGTAACAGGAAGGAGCGTAGTCTCAGACCTGTCTGGCAGCGGAGTCCGCGTTCTTCTCTCCACCGTGGTGCCTCCACTCTGCCCTTGGTACTGACGGGTAACCCGCTTGTCTAGTAAAACGGGGGAGCGGAGGTGAGCCTGTGGCACTTAGTCAAGTAACAATAGTTGTCACTCTCTCTTGTTTAATCCTATAGTGGAGTACGACAAGGAGTTCTCCCCTCGCCAGCGACACCACAAAGAGTTCAAGTTCAACTTATCCCAGATTCCTGAGGGTGAGGCGGTGACGGCTGCTGAATTCCGCATCTACAAGGACTGTGTTGTGGGGAGTTTTAAAAACCAAACTTTTCTTATCAGCATTTATCAAGTCTTACAGGAGCACCAGCACAGGTATGAAGGCTCGAGGAAGCCCACCATGTGGGGCTGGCCCCATGTCCCACCCGCTGTTGTCACATGACCCCGAGTGTGTCTGTGGAGGGTGCCGTGAAGCTCAAGGGCAGCCGCGAATGTGACCCGATGGGTGGCTTAAGGGGCAGTGGCTAGCTGGCAAGATCCTTTGACGGTTAAGCTAACTTTGCAAATAGCTTTCCTTTCCTAAGCGAGCCAGTGAGTGGTATGTACTAAGCATCCTTTGGGATCAGACACCTCTATAATTTATTGGGGATGAAATACTCCCTGCTATTGTTTGGTCCCTACTTTGAACAAAGGATGAGGGTGGCTAAAACCAATTCACAAATTAAAAGTATATAATGATGCTCATAAGGGATACTGATTCAGATGACTGTGAGACTATGTGTTCATGCATATAATATATGCATACATATGTTTGTGTGTTGAATGTGTGTGTAATGTATTTCTGTCATTTGGATACAAGGGAATGCTAGATCCCCATCCCCCCATGTCTATATTATTCTTCTTTTCTAAAATGAGTCCAAGCCATTTTAAAAGGCTGTAATAAAGTATGTTCCTCAGGCAGCTGCCTAGCAATAAAGAAAAAGTTGGAGGGTTGGAAGGGTAAAGGGATGGAGATTACAGCAGTTAGATCAAATCTGTAGTATACAGAAAAGGAGGCAATGGCTGAGTTTTGGTGGTGTTTGAGGGCCAGTGTAGATGCTCAGAGAGAATTGTGCACATGATGGGTAGGTTGGCACGAGAGCCGCTGGAGCCCCGTTTACTGTGCAGGTAAAGCGGCATCACTGTTCAGTTTCTGTGTGCAGAGGTAGGAATTAGGTCAGTGATATGACAGTCTGGGAACTATATGGTAGACACAAAGATAAGAATGAAAAGCATGGGTGAAGGAGGAAACCCTACTCTCATAGACCCTGAGGAATTCTTCACCTTTGATTCTATATACCAAGTCCAGATTCTTGGCTTTGGTCTTGGAAGTCGTTTGACTTGGTTAAGAATTTGCAGAGCTTTAGGAATGACTTTAGTTTCTTCTGAATCAATTGATGTGTATATAGTTCTGCCACAAATACGCACCCTGAAATCTTGAGGAACATTAATTTGGCCTAAGAAAGGCCGAATGTACTTCTGAAAACATCACCAGCATGCATCGTTTCTGCAAGCCAGTCTGTAATGGGGGAACTAGAAAAAAGAAAGGCAGATGCCAGGCCCTGGGGCCGCACTATAAGGAACATAGAGCTATTGCAATATCTTTATACTGTACGAGATTTTCACACCAAAAAAGAAATTGACGTCTGATTTTCACTGTGAAGTAAAAGTATAATCAGTGGTTTTCCTGTAGAGAAGGCCTCTTTTGGAAAGCAAATAATCTATTGCTAGATATTTGTCTTTTGATACTTTGGAGAGACTTGGTATTCCGTGATTCTTTGGCAGTGCTTTAGCACTGAGTTTTCAATCTGCCAAATTATTTATTCTGTTGTCTTTCTCTGGTGGAAGTAACCTACTGGTACTTTTTTTTGGCTCAGGGGTTTGTTTAGAATACATGATTTTCTCTGTCCTGAGGGAAAAGCACTATAGTAAAAACATTAGGCTGGAAGTTTAGTGACTATGGAATTTTTTTTTTAACTTTTTTTTTAAAGAGAGAGCCAACAGAATCTTTGAGGTTTATGCTGAACTCCAGCCAAAACAGAACAGCTGCCTCAGGCTCAAGATGGTGGCGACATACTTCCTTGAGGCCAGCAGTGAGTTTGGAAAACAAAATCCCACATGGCCTCAGCCTCCAGTGGCTCCCCATCAAAGCAGAGAGCTGTCCTCTTTTGCCGTCTAAGATGAGGGCCTTTGGTGACTGGATGTGTTTAATTTTGTGCATGGGAGAGGGAAAATACTGGCAGAACTGGGGGGAATTTCATGCTTTTGAAGAGTCCCAGAGTGGCCAGGAGATTTCTTATCTGTGGGCTAGGAGCCCGGGTCTCTTGCTGTCCCTGCTGTCCTTCCTGGGGCCTGCAGATTTCACCGCGGGCTCCCTCTTGGGGGGAGGTTTGTTCTCCCCATCTGTACCGTCTTAGGGTGTCTTGACTGAGAATCTTTTTCCAAGCTTGTAAAGAAAGTTATTTGCCCAACCTATGTTTAAGTAGAATTTGCAGCATTTGATAGATTCCTTTAATTTAACAAAGGTTTGTTTTGCAATATAGTTGGCCTCATTGAAATAGGGTGTTAGGATTTTAAGTGCCAAGTGATACACTAAGCAGACAGCCAGGGAAGCGATGCGCTGGACCCCTGATATAAAAAGCAGCCACCTGCCTCAGGGAGGGCCAGGAAGGACTTGTGGATAATTAGCCTTTGCTGTGGATTACACAGAAACATGTTTATTTGACTACTAAGCAATAACTAGGCCAGGTAAGTTTTTAAAAAGTAATTACTTGAATAGGTGGTGCTTTTAGTAAGATCAGGGAAATACTTGCTACTCTACTCAAAACATGAAAATAAGCCCTTAGAATTTAAGTCATGGAAAGAGGCAGCCTATATGCTGCATAGAGATCATGACTCAGGTGTACATTAAGTATACAGGATGTCCTTTGCAGTTTTAAAAACTCGTTCCATGGTATTATATGGTGCCTGTACTTTAAGATGAGCTTGGTGCTCCGGGATTGTAGCTCAGTGGTACAGCGCTTGCCTGGCATGCATGAGGCCCTGGGGTTAGTCCCCAGCAGTACAAAAGAATAGTGAGTTAGGTGTCAATATTTGGTGTTATAAATCATTACATTCTTATCATGCTGCTGATAAAAATTTGCGTTTGTAAAGAGCTAACAGTTGGGAGAAGACGTTCTCTTGTATATGGTCTCATTAGGATTTTGCTGTGACCTATAGGTAAACAGGGCAGGCATGTCACCTTTGAGAGAGTCACATGTGACACATGAAAATGCCTGAACTGTTGCTGGCCTCCTAAAGTCACCCTGACAATACAGGGACAGTCCCAAGATGAAGGTAAAGCACCAGGAACTGGTGAGCAGTCTCCTTTTGCATGTCCCTGCCCCTGCATTCCTTGAGTAGGACGTGGGGACCCCAGGGTGTTTCTGTCTGGATGGCGAAGGAGATGACGGCACCAGGTAGTGAAAATGTGCCTGGTGGAATCCTGGCCCTGCCACTCTGACTTTCAAGGCCCTCTTATAGAAAACCTTTGCAAGCCTTTATTCTCTTGATCAACTATCCATCTATTAACAGTTTTTTCTAGAGGAAGAGAATGGAGGGGGAAAAAAGACTAGAATTAATTTACACAGAAGCATTTGTTCTTTTACGCAGTAGGATTCTTTTGTCCATTTGCTTCTCTACTACATGCTTCTGTACAATTTAAACACTAACTGTCTTCACATTTGGAGTCTAGGCTGCTCTAAACACCTGCAGCCTTTCACATTCATGGTAGCATGATGGTGCCGTGTTGCTTTTCACATGTATTCATGACCTGTACTCCTATAGTTCTTGACTGAATTTCATATACATAGAAATCAAAGAGACACTCTTGCAAGCCAACCAGAGATTTTAAAAGAGACCTGTTTAGTATCTGAATGATGGTCCTGTTTAGTGCATGAAGTGGCCACACCTACTTCCGCTAGTTTTGACATTTCCTGTTCTCTATATGCTTTGGCAATTTCATTGCTCGTCAGCAATGGGCTATCTTCTATGTCTATGATAACTTTCTATGTCTTTTGGAAGATATTTAAAGTGAGAATTACCAAACTGAAAATGAATTTCCTCCCGGTATAAGCAATATCAAAACATATTCATATTTAGAAAGAGACAAGGATATATATACATATGTATGTGGATGCTGATTATATAAATAGTGTATATATACGTATGCTTTCATGTAAATTTATATAAATTGTTCATTTGTTTTTTAAAGTTTGGTTCATATGTTTCATCCTAATTTCAGAATCCTTCGAGTATGAATAAATATAGTCAAGGAAACAAGCTAATGCTGCTTTAGAGTTGGTTTTCAAAACTTTGAGAAAAAAATTTCTCAGGTTAACTGAGAGGCTAAGCTAAGGAAATCCCTAGGATCAATCCCAGGTTGAATTGTTTTACTTTCTGAGAAAATTCACAAATTCTGTTCTATTTTACAGATAGAATATAATTTTCCCAGAAGGGAAAATGACTATTGAAAGGCAAAAACATATTTTTAAAGAATTTCTGGCTTGGTATTCTGAACCAGTAACAGAAATAAGGAATCCAGGAATAAGCTAGGGAAAGGTAAGGAAGATGAGTGTCAGGCTTGCACTTGTCTGAGTCAGGTAGAAAAGTATCCTAGCAGCATTCTTCTCAGCAGAATGAGCTAAATTATAACAGATTCAGGAGACTAGAAGTGAGCCACTGAAGTAGATTAGATAGCCCAGCTATGAAAGAATCAAACCCGATTTGCCCCGTACTATTTACTGAAAATACTGTTCTTTTTCTAAGTACTTCAGGGGCACCATCCTCATAAATTAGGTGATCATATGCATATAGGTCTGTTTCATGGATCTTTATTTTGTTCTGTTGGTTAATTTTTCTCTTCTTGCTCCAATACTGCAATGGCGTAGATCTTTTAGATTTGTAATGAGGATTGATATCTGGTATGTAAGCTTCTCAAATGTGTTCTTGTGACATTTTTGGCTACTAGTGGCCCTTTATAATTTCACAGAAACTTTAAAATCTGTTAGCTCCCACAAAAACAGCAAAAAGACTTGCTGGGCTTCTGATTAGGATTTTATTAAATCTAGACATCAATTTGGAAAGAACTTACATTTTAACAGAGTCAAGTGTACCATTACAAGAGGCTGGTGTTTATTGGGTTTTCTTTAATAACTCTCAAAAATATATATTTGAGGGGGTTTGAGCATTTTCATTGGATCATTTTTATGTTTGATGATTTTGTAAGTGATACTATCTTTTAAAAATTTCAACATCTAATTGTTTTTTGCTCACGTGGACAAATCCACCAATGTTTG